CACTACTGTATGCATGTTGCTCGGAAAGCAGAATAATCTGCATGCTTATTTTTGTTTATTGGTGTGACTCCAGGATTCAGAGCAATTCCACACTTCATAACCAAACTTGTGTGGTTTGTCAGTGACTAATGTTGCTGGGACTACACTGTTTACCAATATACATACAGGGCGTCGCACACAAGGAAAAATCCTAAAAATTATAAGATGGCGACGGCAACACAGAGGAAGCCTATTTCTCTTTTTTCAAATTCCTAAGAGGGAAAGGATTGTAAAAAAGTGTAGGTCTCATCAGGGATGAATTCTCATTAGTGAGAGGCATTGAAGTTTGCAAAAGGCAGCCATTAAAATAGTGTGTGCCTGCTGTCTGTGGAAATGTGCTGTGTGAGGTGGGAGACAGTTATTTCCAATCTGATCAGGGAAATGGGAATCATTCTCCCGAGGAAAAAGACTTTGCTTTATTCCAAAAGGTGAAAATTAAACTAAATAAAAGTTATCCTTTAAAAATTCTCAGGCTAAATTGGGGCCAAGAGCATATGAAATGGGGGTGACTGTTGAAAGCCCAGGAGACGGAGGCATCAGATATTAGTCTGTCCACCCAAAATCAGCTTTCTTGAAAAGGCTGAATCTCAGTCACACTGAATGTAGCTGCTTTTTCCTGTACAGCAGACCAACTGTTTCTGTATCCCCTGTTCTGGTTTGTAGAACAATAATAATGGTCAGTTTTCTGAGCTGAGCAGCCTACCATTTGTATAATCAAACCTGCATAGATCACTGCCTTTTAAATTTCACTGTCCTGCTAACACTCCTGCATTTTCTAGCTTTGCTTTGGGAAAATTTGGGATTTTAAAAAGTTAGATCGGTTAAACTGGTGTCTTACTAAATTGTCCTTGTGTCTCCTTCAGGGTGTAAAATAACATAAAATACGGTGACCTGTCAAGTGAGTTTAAAGAAAGGTTATTATTGGACAAGATGTCATACAACAGAAATATTGTGCAATATAATTACAGGAGCCAGAGAGCAGGCATTGTAAACAGATTCTGTTAATGATTGCCCTTTTATGGCCTGGCTTTCCTCCCATTACTACAATTATAAGATAAGCCAGAGAAAGAAGACAGCAGCAATAATGACTTAATATATCTTCCTGCATGGCAGGTCTGAAAAAGAGAGACCAGCTGTCCGGGTTTGTGTCATATATTAGAATCTACACTTCAGCTCTGTTGCTGCACCAAACAATGACTCCAGTTTCGACACCTGGGTGTATCCCTGGCACGAGCAATGCCCCCTGTGACAGGTGTGGGTCACATACAGAGCCACAGGGCACTGGGCTGAACACACTGGACAGGCCAACAGAGGCTGAGGATAGCAGCTCAGCTCTCACGCACATCCCCACTGACTCAGCAGCTCTGCGCAAGATTAATCCCTCCAGCTGGGCTGAAAGGGCACTTTCTGTGTTACAGTAATTCGCTGCTGTTCGACACCACTATACTGTGTGTTTGTCTTGGAAATTGTCACTGAGAAAAGGGTGCTTTTTATTTACTGTACTATTGCGTGTTCAATATAAAAATATCCTTGGACTCAGTTTGAGAAAGGTTAAGCCCTTTGACAGGTTTCACAGAGTATTTACAGTAGGTGTCAGAGGGTGAGTGCATATACAGTATCATTTGCAATTCAACAAAATTCAACAAAAAGGGGGCGAATACTTTTACCTCTCACTGTAGATGTGCCTGAGATAGATACTTATCCAACCATGACAGAAACCAACCAATTTATCAATCAATCAATGCAAAATTAGGTCTATTAGGTTTAATGACAGATTCAACAGCAAAAACCTTTCATTAAAACTGCACACCAAACACAATTGATCTATGTTGTTTTGCCCAGGACAGACAAAGGACAAAAGACAGCTGGATTCCCAACACTACATCTTATAGAGAACTATATTTCTTAGAACCCATGAACCACGTGGTATATGATCTTAACCACAAGCATGTGTCATCCCCAAATGACAATGCCTCGCTCAAGAGATGAAGTGTCCTGCCATTCAAAAATGTGCTGGACTCCTGTAGGTTCACTTTGCTCTCTATAGCTCAGCCATATCGCTGCAACAGAGGCAACGAGCTCAAGCACATCTGCAAACACTCATAAAACCTGCACAGGTCCTGGAACATGTAAAACAAAATGCTTAGTATTTAACCTTTTGGTCCAGTTTCAGCTCCAACAATGAGAGAAGTAACACAGAGAACAGAACTGCAGAAATTCTTGATACCAGACCGCATGCCAGAAAACATTTTGCAGACTCTGCTTTTATTATTTACAGTATCACTGTATTTTTCACAGTTTCTCTCCCTGTTGCTGCAAACTTGATCCTGTCCCCATGAATTACACAAACACATCGCAGGCATTATCCATAGCATTAGCTTATCATTATAGATGAGAGCGCGGGCTTCCTCTTCTTGGAAGTGCTCAGCGTAAAGGGGCTCTGGTCGTGAATTGATGGTGTCACGCTCCTTCCTCGGCTGTCTCTCACTCTAAAAATAACACTGTAATGCACTGAGAGGGCAGTGTTAGAGAGGGCAATCCGGCCCTGGAGGACCAGTGCAGCCTTTAATTCACATTAGGACAGCATTAACAGGAAACAAGTGCCCCTTCTTGGAAGGTGGGGATGTATTGATTTCTGAGAGTGTGTTTTGCCAGGCACGCCGGGCCTGGTTTTGGAGGATGGAGCTTGATCGCTGTTGTTCACTAACATGAGTTTGACTGAAAGGTAAAGGTCCTGGATTCTTGCAGACCCAGAGAATCACGACAGGGTCCAGTTAGTGGTTATGCCTCCCCTGCTGTCAGTTATCTCACACAGATAAGTTCATTATAATGCACCCAGCTGAACCGACCTGCTGCTTTTGTATCAGGTTACTGTCATGACATTCGTCACTGGATGAACAAAGGGCTCTAAAGAACCCTCACCCACCGCAGAGCGGACACTGATTCATTTTCCCGGGACGAGATTTGTAAAGGGACGTCTGGCAGACAGGTTTATGTCCTTAATTAAAATCGGCACCGGCGCAAGTAACAATCAGAGTCCACAGGCGGGCTTCAAAACAACAGCAAGGCTGTCGGCCGCGTTTGCCCTTGAAAATAAACCACAGAAGTGCGTGCAAGCGCTGAGCACACTGCCCTGGGTTTCAGAGAGCGAAACATCACAGGCTCATCTGGGAGCATGGGCAGGACGTGAGACACCAGTGGATATGCCAAGCTGAAAACTGGGACCGCACTCACCCATTTAAAATCTCACACCAGTGCCCGGTGTAATTCCATTCCAATGCACCCTGCAGCGTTCATGTTCTGTGCATCACAGAGCTCCCTGCATGACCGCAGACAAAGCTGGCACAAGGTTTGCACAGGCAGGCCAGGGAAGAAACCAGCATCTGATAAACCTGCAGAGGCATTATCTGAACTTAAACACACTTGGCGTCTCATCTCTAGCTGATTTGTGCCTTGCCAACTGAAACGGTAGCTGTGCTCCCAGCCTCTGTCCTCTGTTCTCAGAAATGTGCCAGGCATCCTGGCGTTCCTCTGCAGCAGCTCCTCACAGGTTAATCAAGCTGTAATAAAGATTTGATGTTGTAGCTAAATGTCCGTCCCAGCGTGATGCCTGGACCGCAAACCTTCTCATAACAGAGCTAATTTCCCTGAAGCTGTCACTCTTAAAGAGCTGGCAATGGGCTCTGGCACAGCAGCAGGCTCGCTAATTGAGAAATAACATGGGAAGAAGGGGTCTGGGAAAATAAACAGCAGCTAGCAGCCCATTCCTGGGATATTCCTTCACAAAGGAAAAGCTACATGCTGCACACAGTGCCCAAGGCAAAGGGGAGTCTTTTTTTTTTATTTTTTCAGGGGTTAATTTTGTTGCTAAATTACAGCATGCAGTAAATGCTATGAAAATGTCAGAAAAACACCATGTTGTGGTGTCTGGATGGGGCTTGTGATGTCTAGCCAAGAGGAGAACTGCGAACCACCAAGAGCTGTGAATAATTTCTCGACAGGAAGCAGCCCTGTTGACATCAGTCGGAGCGGCAGCGCTGCCTGGATTTCAGCAGAAGGAAGTTGCGGTTTCAAGAGCTGTGAGGGTGAAAAGCACACGAAAGAAAACCGGCCTGCCCTCCTGTCGCCGTGACCTGCAGGGCCCGCCCCTGGCTCCCGAGAGCCCTGGCCGTCCCCTCACTGCCAAACCCCCAGGCACCCCCTCTCCGACGCCAGCTACGGTCAAGTCACAGCCCTCTGCCGAAGCCTGCTTCCCTCTTCAAGCACCTCCCAGAGCACCCATCTCCGGCACCTGTGACATCTTCTGCACACCAGGCGTTCCCTTTGGGAATATGTCCTTTACTGCACTCATTCCTTCAGGTTTTCTAAACTATGATTCCACTGCGCTTTCCTCATGGCGGATCACAATGAAGCTCTGTAACACTGCAGAGAAACCCTCTAACACCCCACTTCTTACCATCAGATTCCCTGGCAGCGAGATTTGTTCACTGTTATTTGAGTCTGTTTTCCTTCCTAGGTTTCTAAAAAAATACACCCATAAGAAGTACACCACATCCACACACAGCAGGCATTCATCACAGGAAGGACCCCAAATGCCAAAAGTATGGATTGTTCAATACTGCACAGATACAGGATAGTATCGTACATGGCTTGTTATTTAAAAAATGAAATGAGAAACAACACAGTCCAGGTGATAAATTCAAATTTAGCACAAGGAAGCAATTATAATTCAATGCTGCTCCTTAGCTTGCTGTTTAAGCAGAAATCAAACCATGGCAGGATTTGAAATGCAGAGAAACTGGGGATCTAACAAGCGTACAAAGCAAGGTAAACATTTTTTTCCTCGCAGGCCAATTTTCCCTATCTCATCCAGGCCAGTGTACCTCAGCAGGCTTGATTTATCAACGAGGGCAGCAGCTTGGAGCTCAGCCGGCCGTGTCGATGTTCGGCACATTAGCAAAGCGGAATGAATCCCCTCCAAACGCAAGTCACACCGCGCACGACGATTTCTCCGCGTAAGAATGAATCGGACCGTTGATTAGCGTCTGCATATCTGCGAATTAGCAGGAATTGATATCTAATTTTACCCGCTGGTCACAGGTTGCTTGCAGTTCTCAATGAGTCACGGCTGCGGCAGATTGCCAGCACTATGTTTCTCCAGCGCCCCAGTTTCCTCAACTCAGAGAAGTCAAAGCCAAGAGCACAACCAAGCGCGGAAAGAGGTAAGCAGTCGGCGCCTTTTCCTTACAAAGTTTATCGTGGTAGTGTACGTGTGTGCTAATTTCACCATTTTCTCATGATCTCGCCATGCTTTCAACATGCCCTGCAGTATGCATGTTTACTGTGCAACAGGCGCAGACACTCAAGACACTTTAAGATATCATGACTTCAGCTTGGCGCGTCATAAAAGCACGGTTGAATTGGGATCGTAACGCATCGCTGCATAACATCTTTTTACTTTTGACATGGTCACATGACACTTCGAATCCCCGGCCCGGGGGAGTGTCATAAAACGCATTAGTATTGGCCCAACTGAAACTGCCGCTGACCTGTGCAGAACTCTGGTCATGCTCCATAAAAAAAGGGGACTGCGTGGATTTCTGTGAGGGGTGTTTTCGTTTAAACGAGCTCCGCAGTCAAAGTCCACTTTCTGGCGGCTTTCAGGAATGCGGTTGGAAGTTTTCTGTATAAATCACATTTTACCAAGTCTAATAAGTCTTAGTCTCGTATGCAGACGCCTCTTTAACTACCACAGGCACAAAGGGGGGAGCCAGCTTTCTGCGCTCTCCGGGGATTTGGGAATCGGAAGCCCAAAGCCGTCAGTCCATCCTGCCCTTTTGTTCGTTAGCAGCTAATTGATCCTGCAGTCCTGCAGAATCATTTATCCTGACCCATGGATTGATCCATGGTACATGGGACTAGTAGCATGCTTAGGTTCTGAAAGACATGCTTGTAGGAGAGTGCATCCTTCAGCCCAGTTCTTTGGCGTGACTCAGTGATCAGTTGAAACTTGCGCAGACAGTCCGTTTGGGGGACTGGGTCTTTCTTAGCAGATGAAAGCGTTTGGCCTTCAGGGCATCAGCGCCCCAGTGACCTCGGGCTGGGCTGGTGTGGGCACAGACAGCGTCACCTAACAGACGTCCAGAGCGCTGAAGGAGAGGAGCTGCAGCCCCGTGAGCTGCCGGGTGAATGCTCCATCGCTCCCATATGGATCTGCAGAGCTGCCCACACCTGAGCAGAGCTGGGCCTGAAAACGGAGTGGGCGGCTGGCGTTCACTTCACTACCTGCCCCCTGCCCCCTGCCCCCTCCCTGCAGCTCGACACGGCAGACCTGAAGGGCTCATACAGCAAGAGAGCTTTTAACATCGCCTGCAGCCTCACGGCCAGGGCTGGGACCCTGCCCCTCCCCTGCTCTTGCTTCAGCTGCGCGTTTCAGTATTTTGAATTCTGGAGACGGGGAGTAATTACAGTCATCTGTCTAGCTACAGTAACTATAACATATTGACTTGTTAATTAAACAGGACGTTTTAACCAACAGCGTTCCATTCACGAGTCCCCCTTCTCTTCCTCTTTGAAGTGGGTTTGGCAGCAATTTGTTGCGATTCCAGTCTTTTCTCATGCCGGAGTGCAGCGGCTTTCAATTGGAACTCTCCAGAGCATTTGTGTCTTTGCCTGGGTGGTATTCTGGCAGTGCCCACTGCCTGGTGCATGTGGGCAGGGCTGTGACTCAGACATTCGTGTCCAGCGAAGAGGCAAAATAAGGCGTGTGGTGCGTTATCAGTTTACCGCCCCGCTCAGCCTCTGTAACTCGGGCTCCACTCGTGAACATGAATGCACTGCATTGCTTGTAAAGAGGTCATACGAGTCGGCGGCAGATTATTTAAGTTAGGGCGGAAAAAAAAACTACAGCTGTTCAAAATTTTTTGAGGGGGAATTGCAGTGAATGAAAATAGCGATGTCTGCAAAGAGGGCCCGGCGTCCAGAGGGAGAGCTTAAAACGTCTCTGCCTCTTTTTTTCAGTGTTAGAGCTGCGGGGGGGCGTAAAAGAAATGACCACTGAAAATATCCGAAACCCACATCGATGATGTTGTCAAAATACTTTCTAGTTCAGGTGGGGAGGTGCATCAGCATGCATGGGCTGCAAAGGAACAGGTAATAGGTTTATTCCATGCTGAAAAAAAGAAGAAAAAGAACATTTTGTTGTGTAAACAAAATACTTTCTGTGTGGCTCTCCTTACAGGGGGAACAGATGGAGCACACTGCAGCCCTGGACAGAGCCACAGCACTCAGCGTGGGCAGCTTTTACTCAGCCGGTGGAAAGGGTGAGGAGGGGAGAGGTGAGGATTATGTGACGTGTTCCCCCCACACCTACTTATTTTAAAGGGTCACCCCCGAACCCCCCCCCCCAACCCCTCACATTATGATTCCAGAAATGCTCTGAGGGAAGAGGGCTACTGTAAAATTCGTAATTGTTTCCAGTAAACTCTATGTCACCTCTCGATTTTATGCGGCTCACACTTTTGTTGGCAGGCACCCCTTACAGCCAACCCCCCCCTCCCCCAAAACAAGGGGGTTCCCCTTCGTTCCCTCTTGACCCAGCAGGACCACCTCAGCTCTGACCTGAAGGTGGCGTTTCTGTCCTGTCATTTGAGAGCCGAAGGTGGCTTTGTGGTGTAGGAGGATGTCAGCTTGATGTGCACTAGGGACTGCGATCTCGCACATCTGCACAATGATTCTGCAGGAAAGGGACAGAAAGCCCACCACTGCAGAGGCCCCTGGAGTGCTCCTTTCGGTAACTGCATGAGCTGTTTTTATTTTGTGTGGTGAGCTCGTGAAGTGATACGGATGCCGTCATGCGCAAAGTCTGCGGACAGAGCTGTCAGCTCTCAAGCAGCACAGCCACATCCGATCACCTGAGCACAGTGCTCTGCAGAACAAAAGGGGAGCCAGGAACACCAGAGCTGACCTTCTGAAAGGACTGATAAGACTGTGTGTGTCTTAAACCTAAAGGATTGCAGCAGGCACACTGGGGATTGAATTGCGATTCATGAAGTCACAGCTGCAATACGAATGTTATTTACCGTGAAAAACAGCTAAAAAAGCTTAAAATATTTTCTGATTATTCATAAAATATCCTAACATATTTCAGATGGATCAGCAGTTAGCTGCTAAGTTGAAAAAGTGTTTCACACTGTGAATGCTTTGTGAATAGTGGGGCTCTTTGCCAGTCTACACATTTAGCTTTTCCCAATTACCATAAGTCCACAGACAAGGCAGTCCTGTTGATAGTCTTGTGTAACTTAAAACAGGTGTTTGGATTTCCAGGCTGTTTGCTGCTAGGAAACAAAGTACAACACAGGTGCCTTTTTTTGTAACTGCTCCGTTATGTAAAATAAAACGAAATCAATTACATGTATATGCTGTTTCACCGAGAGAAGGAATTCACCCAGAGATTTCAAAGAAGAGAATTGGAGTTCTCTTTGAGTTTTAAATTACCTGTAACTGAAAGACAGTGTTTGAATGAGCTCCCGAAGGGATTTCGGCTACAGAATGTGGGCAAATTCAGGCAGCAAAACACATCTGGCATACAGCTGGAGTTCACTCTTCTGCCTTCTAGAAGCTGCAGGCAGCTGGAAATGTCTGATTTTCCAAGATGCTCAAAATAATACTTTTTGTGTCCAGCACACTTAAAAAATAAAAACTTTCTTTTGTTATGAGACTAATTGATCTGAGATCTGATTTATTTTTGTCTTTGAACAGTGCTGGGTTTCTCATACACTCAGTAGGTGGTATAATAATAAATTCAATGTGTTTGGTTATCTTTCCAGAGACACAACCATTGAACAGCAGAAATGCACCAGTAATTAGATTAATCCCAAATCTGTGGCTGGAGAAACTACACAGGACAGAGATATGACATACACAGTCATGTCAAATAACGAAAAGAGCAGAATTGCTTAGCATGTTAATATCTAGTGCAACCCCAAACAGTATGCCCGTTGATAAGAAACATTAACTTGCACGAAATTCGTAGAAAGGCAGTGCAGCCAGACAGCATTAGTCACAATAAAAACCACAAATGGGGCATCAGTATTCACAGACATTACAGTTTCAAGTCATAAAACATAATCTCATTACAAGACTGGGTGAAAAACTGCGCAGCCTATATTAGACCTGGGTGTCGACAGACAAAGCTATTTTAATACCAGTGCACACAGCTTTGGCGATCTGTACTGACCTTTTATTGCACGCAGATGTCTAGAATCTTTCCCTCCAAACAGAGCTGTAGGTAATAACCTGGGATTGGGCAGCCTTATCCCCATACCCACACAACAGCTCTGTTTCACACTGCTGATCTGAAGATAACGTCCTACAGAACCCTCTCTCTTTTCGTTTGCTTTGCTTCTGAGCTGATACCCGACTTTGCGAAACCGCTAGGTTGGCTGTTCTATTAGGGAAAAAAAAGGGACAAATTTCGGCCCATCGAGTCCATCTGTTTGTTAGGCTCTGATTGATCCCAGGTTCTCATCCAGCCGCCTCCTGAAAGAAGCCAGTGTAGCTTCAGCAGCTTGTTTAGGACTCCCAGCACCCCTTTCGGAAGTAGTGCCTCCTGTTCTCGGTCTTTAAACGCACTTTCACCCAGTTTGCACTGGTGTCCCCTTGTTGGCGTTTCTGCGTCGGCTTTGTCAGTGGCCTCGAGGGTCGGCCCTGTGGAAATGCACACGGGCTTGCCGGGAGTTACTCGGGATTTGTGTAACGAAGGGGCACTCTTCTTGTTTATCCCAGCGGGATCATCAGTTGTGTTTGAAAAGGTTTGTTTGTTTGATGAGGTTTTTCCAGGGGGAAATCCATGTGCTCGTTAGCTTGCATTGTGCACACTTGTAAAAGCATGGGTATGTTGTACAGTCCATTCTCGATTTCCATTAGTACTTTATGGTGTGCACTTACACATTTTTAATTTATTATTAATTATTATTAATTTGCAGCATAACAGAGATAATCTGTGCGTATACAGAGATATCAAGTGCCATCACTGATGCTGGAGTGCTATGTAACAACATGAAAGAGTGTTATTGCTAAAATATCCTACTGCACTTTAAAAAGGATGGAGTGTCAGTAGCTGCTAAGGGAATTATGATATCTCCAATATTAAAAAGCTATTTGATTCCCCCCCATCTGAGACATTAACTGTTGTCTAGTGACAGCAATTTAAAGTGAATGGTTACAACTATAGCATGTTGTAGCTCAAGACTGGGGTGGTACCCAGGGACTAGAGAATTGCTAACATAGTGCCCATCCATGTGAACTCAGGTAACTACAGACCAGTGAGTCTGATTGTTATTACTTGTCAGGTTATGCAAACTATTAGAACTAAATCAGATCACCAGTACGGAAATCACATATCGGGGAACAGTATTAGAATGATATTAAAAAAGTAGATAATTCCTAGCTAACCTATTAGACTTCATAGAACTATTGCTTATTGAACAATAATGAGCACCCACAGAGCATGTGGTGTATTTAAAGTTTCAGAACATGATTCTGATCACGTTTTTCTTATTTCATAGTTTGGACCTAGAATTGGTTATTAAATAGAAAACAGTGGGTATGGAAAAGGGGTCAATGCTCAAATCGGGGTGATGTAATTAGTGGAGTACCACAGGGATCTGTACTCGGACCACTGCACTTCTTAATTTATGTGAATGATTCTAGATTCTGATATAGTTAGTAAATTAGTCAAATTTGCAGATTTGTCATCCTTCTCCTCTGTCAGTAAAGCATGAACAACATGTTGTGACCATGCAGTAGCCATTTGCGATCACTTTCTCTGGCAAACACAAAAGAGGTTCCTTTTCGTAATAGCAAGGATCAGGTCTTGTCTGCAGAGAGCAGGCGGATCTGGCTGAGATAACCGAATGGACCATGTCCTAAGCATCATGATGAAGAAATACGGCAGAGGAAGATGATGGTGATAAAGAAGTTAGATGCATCTTGTGAAACACAAGAGACATCCAACTATCTTTTGTTAATTGTCTTTTATTAAAAAATCACATTTCAGTCATTCATAACATTTTATCTGCCTAATCCAATCACTAATATTGCCTTTAAATGTTTCTTTTAATTAAATGAAATAGTTATGACAAAAAATTAACCTAAATGGTTTTAAGAAGACATTTTATCTTCATTTGAAAATATCAATTGTGTTAATTTGCAGTGCACAACATCAGAATTTTCTTTCATTCAAGATCATGGCAATCATGTGACTGCCTTAAATCTTCTGATTCATGTTGTCATGGTTACAGTGTTCATGTTGTTAAGACCCCATAAAAAAAACTTTTAATGACAGAAGAACGAGTTCATTTGCAGTTTTTGATATTCATAAAACACAGACACACGCTCAGTGGTAAACCAGTTTGGCACAGATCGACCCTGGATTCGTTTCCAAGAGGGAAATTAAAAAATGAAAAAGGTAACTTCACAGTCATCACCTAACAAAGAAAACATCCTGAATAGTCATCTGGCTCTCCAAAATACAAGATGAAGTGTCTGGCTGTGGTGGCAGCAGGTTTGTAAAGGTAATTGGTTCCTCTTGTTTTGCGGCAGCTTTGTTGGTCTCTTCTGGTTGTTCCCACCTTTACGAGTCTGTGTGAGAAGCCCAGAGGCCAATGGCTGCACTGACCCCTGACCGCCTGACCGCCTCGCTCCTGCAGCTCGTCAGAGCTCTCAGCGTGCTGCAGGAACCCCAGACGCAGGGAGGAGTCCGGTCTAGACAGACAGGTTTACCACACTGCGCTCCAGACGGATGATTATTGCTTCTCAATCTGCAGCTGCTGAGCTCTGCTGGTCATGGTGATCCTACAGAACCAGGAGGAACTTTTCTACTTTTCTGTCTTTTATTTTTGGGAGGAAGGAGTTTGTTTCCAGGACCAGATGCTTTGGGTTTTGAACTAGACTGCTTTAGAGCCAGTAGTGAAAAACGTCCATGTGTATAATTTACAGGAAAGGAACAAGCAGAGGTTCATTCTTTCCAACAAACAGAGCCCATCACAGAGCAGGCATGCACATACTCAATACGCACGGGGAGGACTGGAAAGAGGAAAGGTGGGAAGACTCTGCAGCTGAAATGTTGCTTTTCTTTTTTCTACTTCTCAGTGTGAAATTAACCCTTACTTATTCCTTTGTAGCCAACGCATGTTGACGAAGCTCCCCGTTCGAATTTCTATAACTTGCAGTACTGGACTGCACTCAAGCCCATGAATTAAATTACAGCTTCTCCAGAACAGTGCTGGCAGGGTTCTCACCAGGGCAAGAAAGTCAGAGCATGTCACCCTGTCCTACCACAGCC